AATTTCATCAATTTATCAATTTTTAAAATTTTTTAGTTACAAATGTTTAGCGCATCCCTAACTCACATGTCAATTTTTTTTTTTGTTTCACAGAAAAAATGATTAAAAATTAAAAATTAAATTAATATCTTACTTTTAATAAAATTTAATCATTAATAAAAAAATATAATTTATCAACAGCCTTATTAAAATATAGTAACTATCAATAAATCACAACAACACAATACCATGTGTCAATATTTTTACAGCACCAATAGTTTTGAATGTCACATCATTGATGTCTAGGGATTTTAAGGACACATTTCACGTGCTTTGCTGAGCTCTAGGCCCTCACCGGCCTCCGGTGTCAGACGTTGGTAATAATTGTGTATTTTCATTCGCTCAAACTTTATATCTCTCTTTACACGGTCATACTAGCCTTTTTTTTGTTTTGGTTAAAATTTTTTTTTGGTCTCTAAACTATTATATGGGTCCTTGATTTGGTTCCTAAATTAAAAATATTTTTGATTTGGTTCCTATTATTTATCATTTTTACTTCAATTTGGTCCTTCCGTTAAAAATTGTGTGACGTAGCCTGTTACTTCACGGTTACCAAATGACATGTCATATAGTAATCCATGTGGAAAATAATATAGCCAAAAAATGATGATGTGGAAAAAATAATAATATAAAAAAATATTATGACAAATAAAACTTAAATTTTTTTTCTCTTTTCTTTTTTTCTTTTTTTCTTTTTCCTTTCTCCTTCTCCTTTCCCTTTCTCTTTCTCCTTTCCCCTCTCCTTTCCCTTCTCTTTCCCCTCAGAACCCAGCAGGCCTGTGTTCCTTCGAACCCACCCAGGCGCTGGGTTCCTTGCGAACCCAGCACCTTGGTTCGCAAGGAACCCAAGCGTGCTGGGTTTGGTGAGAACCCAGGCAAGTGTGCTGGGTTCTTCGATCTGCTGGGTTCGGTGCTAACCCAGGCAAGCGTGCTGGGTTCTTCAATGTGCTGGGTTCGGTGTGAACCCAGGCAAACGTGCTGGGTTCAATTCCCAGCGATCTGCTGGGTTCTCGATTTGCTAGGTTTGATTTTTTTTAAAAAAATATTTATGTTTAGTAGATTGAATTTTAGGGATATTTTTGGGTTGCAGCTGATTATTTTGCTAGTGAATATTTTGTTTGTGTGGGCTATTCTCATTGAGAATTTGGCAAAAATTGGTTGAGGGAAAAAATTTGCCCATATGGCTGCTTATGATTATCGAACCCAGCGATCTTCAGAGTTCGATTTCTTTTTTTTTTTAATATTTATGTTTAGAAGCTTGAATTTTGGAAAAATATGCCTTGATATTTCTGAGTTTTTTTGGGGAGGTTGAAAGAAAGAATTTATGGCAGTGACTGGTTTCGGGAGATTCTGTATTATTTTTTTATTTAATGTTAGAAAGTGTTAGGGTTTGCAGAAGGCGAAAGGAAAGGAAGAAGATGAAAGGGAAAAAGGGAAAATCAAAGGAAGAAAAAAAGAAAAAAAGGGAAAAGGAAATATTTTAAGGTTTTTTTTGCCATGTCATTATTTTTTTTTGCCATGTCATTGTTTTTTTGCCATGCTGTCATCTTTTTCCATTAGGTAATGGGACACGTCAGTCAATTTTTAACGGAATGACTAAATTGGGGCAAAAATGGTAAACAGTAGGGACTAAATTAAGGATTTTTTTAGTTTAGAAATCAAATCGAAAATTTGTACAATAGTTGAGGGACCAAAATAAAATTTTAACCTTTTGTTTTTTATGGGCCAGTAATTATTTTTTTTTAATCATTTATCGTACTTTTGCTTTTGCTGAATGATTCAATCATTTCCCCGGTGTCAATATCTTGCTCAGCTTTGCCTGCATGAGGTGGTATGGCAGGTAATCATAAAAAATAAGTTAAATACCTTTTTTGGTCCCTCTACTATAGGAAAAAGCCCATTTTTAGTCCCTGTACCGAAAAAATTCCTTTTTTGGTCCTTACTATTCACAAATCCAGCCCCTTTTTGGTCCCTCCGTTAATTTTTGCTCACATGGCACGTTAACTTAACGGGAACAGCTGATGTGGACTTAATGATACCCTCCACGTCAAAAAGAAAAAGTTAAATGCTAAATTTGATCCCTCAAATTTATAAGTTTGCATTTTTTTGATCCTTAGATTATTTTTTTTACTTTTTTGATCTTTTAATTCTAAAAATTACACAATTTTTATTTTTCCATCAGTTAAACATGATGTGATAATTAAATAATTTCATTTGACATTTTTTTTAA